CTTACTTTTGATTCATTAAGCAAATTAATAGCCTTAAGAGGGATTAATCATTTGCCGGAGTAATACCCTCTCCCAAGCCCGCTCAATCCACGTTAAGTAAGTGAGTAATTAACAGAAGATGGTGAGAAGCCATTATGGGGTGGAAAGAGCCATTCGAGTCATTGGTGAAAGAAAGATAATAATATACAGTTAATTATAAGTTGTTCAATTTCAATCAAACTTTTTTTAATAGTTGTATATAAAAAGGGCTGCAACTGTCCTACGTTTCAGTATCGCATCCTAAATAGAAAGGGAGGATTTTTTTTCAACGAATTTTACACATTTTCAATAATTCATTACTACCACATTTTTCAAATGAAATAATTTCTATGGCACTCATCTGTCACATTAGCATATAATAAAGGATTTGTATAAGGGCGGATTTTCCAAAATATGTTTAGTTTTACTAATACAAATAGTCAAAGTTCCCCCAAAATTTATGCCAATATATCATGTTTGCAAATATTTATATAATAAATGAACCTTGGAATAAAGTGTTTTGTAGAGATTGTAGATACGTTCACTCTACATATAAGGTGTAAATTTCATGTAAATTGATTTTTATTTTAAATTATGTCAATTTTGTGTTACTTGACAATAAAGTCAAAGATTCTGCCACCTGTGGTTGAGGTTAACATCAATCAATTTCCTTCAAAATTTGCACCCTTACAGATAGGCTTACGTTCTGTAAGGTGTACAAGTTTCATGCAAATCGCTCGATCAAAAATAATATAACAAAATTGGAGAAAAAATCTAAATTGTATACAACTAAATATTAAAAAACTTTATTATATACTATTGTGATAGATAAGCGTCATAGACATGATTTCAGTTGACACTTATGTTTGATGTTAATTTTTGACCATTTTGGAACATTTTTGACACATAATTCAATATTTTTGTTATCCCTTCCAATTTATGCTACGATGCTGAGACTTGGACCAATTGAACCCAATTTCATATACATCTAATGAAAAAAAAGTTTCAAATCGAACCAGTTTTCATTTATTGCATATTTTTGTAATACGGCCCCTTAAAAGAATCGATGGGAAATGGAATTAAATATCATCTTTAAAATCTGGCCATCAACTAAGATGTGTAACTCTTAGCAGAATAAGACACTGGACAGTAATGAATAAGATTCCTTTCCATCAAAACATTGAGTCAAACTAGTATTTATTTGACTCAATTCCACAGAGTATCTGTTAACAGGAAGTAACCTTGACCAGACCACACACTAGAAAGTGAAGGGACGACGACGTTTCGGTCCGTCCTGGACCATTCTCAAGTCGATTGTCTTGAGATCGACTCACAATCGACTTGAGAATGGTCCAGGAAGGACCGAAACGTCGTCGTCCCTTCACCTTCTAGTGTGTGGTCTGGTCAATTTACTTTAGCCACGTTATTGTGACTCGTCGCCTACAGGAAGTGACCTGATTCTTCCCACTTGCTCTTTCATATTTTAAGTAACTAATATGACATCATTAGTGGGCAAATAAAGAAATAAATGAAACACTTTCGAGTTAATATTTATCACATACAACTTTAGTCACCATTCAACCAAGCAGATGGAAATGGATGAATCTAAACCTGTGCACTAGCATTAATATTTTTCCCTGAATCTTGTGCCTAATCAGGGATGAGTGGAAACATAAATTTCTCACTTAATCTGCCAGGTACACAAAGCTAAGTAAGATTCACAGCCATACTGGCTGTGTACTTTTTTACTTCCATCTATCAAGCATAAGCAACAAGAAATCCCTTACTCCACCCTTTATGAAGCACAATAAATCAGATTATAAATATAATTTAAAATAATGCTATACATAACCACTTTACAGCTAATATTTCCACCTTAAACACAGTCAAGGGAACACACAGAAATCACAATAGCGTGATGCATCAAATGAATAAATCCACAAGAGCCGTGACGAGGGTTCTAACATACGTCCGAGAGGATCCGTGTCGTAGCTCAGTCGATTAAGGCAGCGTCTGGGATCCTCTCGTACGTAGGTTCGAAGCCTCGTCACGGCCCTTGTGGATTTGATCAATCGAAGAACCTTGGACTCGATTCACAAATTACCACCATTTTGTTCACTCATCGGTGCTGCTACCACGAGATTTGAAGATTCTTTAAATCTTTCAAAAATATGTCTCGCAAGCGATGAGTCACAATAACGTGGCTAAAGTATGATGACCAGACCACACACTAGAAGGTGAAGGGACGACGACGTTTCTGTCCGTCCTGGACCATTCTCAAGTCGATTGTGAGAATGATCCAATCGACTTGAGAATGGTCCAGGACGGACCGAAACGTCGTCGTCTCTTCATATTCTAGTGTGTGGTCTGGTCATCATATCTCTCGCAAATGTGGCTAAAATCTCACTTCCCTTCCTTGCTCCATCCGATCAACTCGAAATCTCTCAGTCGTGAGGACGCTTTCCACCGTCATCAACCAGGTCCTGACACTGAGAGAAATGTGACCTTATCGATGCAGTAATGTACCTTGACCGTGTGGAAGTAAACCTACCGCTTCATGAGGAGGTTGGAAGGTTTACTTCCGACCTTCTCAAACAGGGAGACAATCTTCCTCTCCCCGGTCAATAAGACGTCCTTTGTACAGTAGTTTTGTGGCTGAAGAATCTTGTCTTCGATCGTTGAGTCTATTTGGTTCCTCTCGTCTCCTCGTCCGGTGGACAGCACTCATTTTGACAGTTGAGAGGCGGGACCAAAGAGCGAGAACTCAACCCCCGCAAATACAACTAGGTGAGTATAACTAGGTGAGTAGAACTAGATGTATAGAACTAGGTGAGTACATTTCACCTGTCGAAAGAGGCGAAGCTCAACCCCGTCAAGCACTACTAGATGAGTACATCTGGAGGGCTTTGGTGTGAGGTAGTTGAATAAAGGATGGAAATGACCGTAGAGTTTATTTGTAGTTGGCTGTACCTCCCGAAGCATAAGACAAATATTACTCCTAATATTTTCCATTGTCATATATACATATACCACGTTTCCAGAATTATTTTGAGGGGGGGGGGTTAAATGCTTACATATAACATTTAGAAATTATATTTTAGTAATGGAATGATTAATGTACAAACGGATAAATTTACATTACAAATAAATTTTTATATTCATATACAAATTTTCTTTTTTATTTTAATTTCGTGACATGCAGTTTGGATGCACGCTTTATTTGTATCATGAAACATGAAATGTACATTAAAAATTAAACTAAATATATTTTTTTTAAGAAAAGAAATCATGGGAATGCAAAAGAAAGAAAATAAGCATTAGGAATATCTTAGAAAATTAGAGATGCAAGTTAAAGAGTAAAATAATTCAAGCCACTATTATCACGCAAATGCAACATTGTAGATAACATCACACATATTGTATAATACATTGCTGTAAACATTGTATTAGGAGCAAGGGGAGTGTTTCTCCTTCGGTATAACAGTTTGAAGTAAACATTGCAGATAACATCACACATATTGCATAATACATTACTGTAAACATTATATTAGGAGCCAGGGGAGTGTTTCTACTCCGCCATAACTGCTCGAAGTAAACACACACACACACACATGAATGTTTATAATTTATGTTGCAAGGCAAGGTAAACACCCTCGACTCCAAGTTGTCTGCTCAAAGCTAACATTTTCCACCACTAACAAGCCCTAAACACAGGTCTATTTTGTCCCCGAATTCAGTGTGGTTCGTGTTTCTAAGGGAAATAAGAGCAGGAACCACACATACGAGCATCGGCTACCAGCACTCCACAACCACTGCCACCACCACCACTATTGTCACCACTACCACCACCACTATTAACACCACTACCACCACCACTATTGTCACCACCACCACTATTGTCACTACTACCACTACCACTATTGTCACCACTAACACCACCACTATTAACACCACTATCACCACCACTATTAATACCACTACCACCACCACTATTGTCACCACCACCACTATTGTCACCACTACCACCACTATTAACACCACTATCACCACCACGAATACCACCACTACCACCACCACTATTAATACTTCTACCACTACCACAACTACTACTACTTCTACCACTACCACAACTACTACAATTACTAATTCTGCTATAACTAATTTCAAGACTCCATTGATAACGAAAATATGGTCTTCTTGAAGATATCTATACAACCAATGGGAGGCAAATACCATATAACGCAGCCCCGACTTGGGATCGAACCCTCGTTAAACAAAACTAAGCTTGTAAATGTCTAGAGATTAGCTAGAAGACAAGTGTCTGAATTAAAAACTCAAATAACCATCAATTCGTATCGCTCCCATGTGCATATATGTGTGCCAGAGAGCATATATATATATGTACACATGTGTACCCCATTCAACCCCTTGTAACAACCTTATGCTTTTTCCGGGGATCAATGTCTCGGCGGCTCGGTCACTGACAGGTCCTCAGGGTTTGTGGTCTAGTTAGCTAGGTTGTTAGATGTTAATGACTCAATCACCTGTCTCTTATCTGTTCATTTCCCCTCAATGTCCCAGCTCTCCTTTTCTGTCTCAGTGCTCCTATCTCACCTACTTCTTCCCTCACACTCCTCTCCCTCACTTTCCCTCCCATGACATTCTTTCCCTCTGCCTCTCCATCTATCTCTACTTCTCTCTCACATCCGAACATCATCAAATAATTGCAGTTAAAGATGCCAAGAAGGAAGATACCCTTCAGGTGGCGTCTCGATCAATGGACAGGTTGCCCCAAGGTGAGGGAAGAGGGGAGAGTGGGAGAGGTGAGGGAAGAGGGGAAGTAGGAGAGGTGAGAGAAGAGGGGAGAGGAAACGGGGAAGAAGAGAAGAGGGAGAAAAGGGGTCATAGCAAGGTTAGAAGTGGAGACAGAGAATGAGTAGGTGGTGAATGAGCAGGGACAGGAAAAAATGGGCAGTAGGAGCATGAGCAGTAGGAGCATGAGCAGTGGGAACATGAGCAGTAGGAGCATGAGCAGTGGGAACATGAGCAGTGGGAACATGAGCAGTGGGAACATGAGCAGTAGGAGCATGAGCAGTGGGAACATGAGCAGTGGGAACATGAGCAGTAGGAGCATGAGCAGTAGGAGCATGAGCAGTGGGAACATGAGCAGTGGGAACATGAGCAGTGGGAACATGAGCAGTAGGATCATGAGCAGTGGGAACATGAGCAGTAGGAGCATGAGCAGTGGGAACATGAGCAGTGGGAACATGAGCAGTGGGAACATGAGCAGTGGGAACATGAGCAGTAGGATCATGAGCAGTGGGAACATGAGCAGTGGGAACATGAGCAGTGGGAACATGAGCAGTAGGATCATGAGCAGTGGGAACATGAGCAGTAGGAGCATGAGCAGTAGGAGCATGAGCAGTGGGAACATGAGCAGTGGGAACATGAGCAGTGGGAACATGAGCAGTGGGAACATGAGCAGTGGGAACATGAAAAATAGCAAGACAAGCAGAGGCCAAAAACACATATATGAGATCCCCGACAGTGATTCAAGTAATCAGTGACCTTGAGTGGCATGAAACTTAAAACCAACTAGATGAGGAAGGTATTTCTCAATTCAACTAATCACTGAATATCCCTACCTTGGTTTACAAGTGTAGAGGTTCCTGAGCCTATTAGGCTCTATCATATCTACATTTGAAAATATGTATGTGTAACACCCTAATGGTGTTGTATTGAATAATTCACGTAAAACATGAATCAGCCAGATAGGATATTTGAAGGCACCCTACCTTGGTTTGTTTTTAGTTGCTTCAGCCCAATTGGTCGGGACAATCGACTTGAGAATGGTCCAGGACGGACCGAAACGTCGTCGTCCCTTCATTTTCTAGTGTGTGGTCTGGTTAACATACTTCAGCCACGTTATTGTGACTCGTCGCCTGCAATTGGTCGGGGAAATTGGCAAACTCCACTGCAGATTGTGGTCATGAATACCACCCTGTTGTTAGTGGTCTCGGGAAGACTAGTAACACTGTGTTTTCTGTCAATAAACACTCGACTCTTTAATCACTAGGACTTGTTCAGAGACCCTCCGTTCGCAACTGTTTATAGTATATGTTGATATTGACTTCAGCAATCATGAGAGGTTGGGTATTTATCAAATGGCACTAAACCAGTATGAATATACGGCACTTACAAGGGATATAAGGACAATGATCCGGGAAAAATGTTGGAAAGGAAGGGTGCCCAAGTACTCAGACTGTGGGGGATCGAACTCTGACCTGTAGGAAGTGAGTCTTTCGCAGTACTGGACAGTCCAAGTGGCTGGGTATAATAGTCAATGGGTAATGGGTACACGCGCGTATAGGTAAGTACATCTTGTTGCGTACAAAGGCACATGCCCGTGTCAAGTGTCAAACATAGATGCCCCGTGTCAAGTAACCGGGTATGCTCTTGACACGGGAACATCATCACATCCAACCCCATTAGTAGGGATTACACTGCCCCATTTGGTAGCTAATGGTCCAACCACCATCCTCACCACTCCTTTCCCCTAGCCTCATATCCCCTTTTCCCTTATTCACCTCCAATCCCCTTATCTTGTCCCCTCGCAATTTTAACCCCGTCTCCTCAACCCCCAATATAACCCCCCCATTTCCTTCCCCATGAATCTTTCTCCCCTCTACCCAAACCCCAACAATTCCCCTCTCCCCCAAACCTCCCCTACAACCTTCTATTTTCCCCTCACACCTTCCTCCTCTCTATTTCCCCTCTTCCTCATTAAATACAGCTGGACGGAGCTGCCTCTCACTGGCCTGATTAACACACCAGTAACTCCTCATAATTCCTTTCCACATCTTTCGTTACAGCTCTTCCACCGTTTCTTCCCTTTCCTCAGTTTACACTGTTCCTCGCCTTTCCCTCTGTTGCTTCCTTATGGCCTCGTTTACATTTATTCCACCCTCTCTCTCCCCTCCTTTATTCTTAGCTCTTCCTTGCCTCTATATCCATCTACATCTTCCTTGTTCAATTCATTTCCTCTGTCATATTCCTCCGGAATTTCTACATTTTCTTTTCCAATTGCCAAGTTCGCATCAATATATTATCACTGTCTCTTGCTTGGGTAACCGTTCCATTCTCCCTACTGTTCCGCTCTCCTTCGTTCTCGCCCTATTTATGGTATTTCGTTGTACCCTCCTTCATCGCCTCTCCCTTCTCCCCCTTCCATCTCACCCCTTTTCTCACTAGTCGCTGCCTCTCCTCTCTCTCTCTCTCTCTCTCTCTCTCTCTCTCTCTCTCTCTCTCTCTCTCTCTCTCTCTCTCTCTCTCTCTCTCTCTCTCTCTCTCTCTCTCTCTCTCTCTCTCTCTCTCTCTCTCTCTCTCTCTCTCTCTCTCTCTCTCTCTCTCTCTCGTCTCTTACACCAACATTAGAATGCAGTTTAATCAAGGTCGATAAAGGCCACTACGTTCCATTCCCTGAGGTAGGTGTGGGCTGACCTGTAGCGAGGCAGGTGTGGGCTGACCATACCTGTGGCGAGGCAGGTGTGTTGATACTCTCACACACACGATTATTAAATCAATATATGCTCTCGTCCTCTACCCCCCATCCCCTCCATTTCCCCTCTCACTCTCTCAATCACTTATTCTCTCACTTACACATTCACTCGCTTGTTCACTTGCTCTATTGCACTCTCACACTCTTAATCACTCAAACACTATCTCACAGACTTACATACTCCAACACTCACTCCATCACTCACTCACTCACTTAGTGAATTAGTTACTGGACGAGCCATAAAACAAGGAAGATTCAGAACATTTACATAAGAGAATTCAAAGCATTTACATACATTCCTAAATATATTTAGTTGAGTAAATTATACAAAACCAATTCTCCTAGCTTCTAATTCACTCCTAAAATAAAGTCAAATAAACCTCCAAAAAAAAATGTACTCAATGAGAAATCTATGAGATATATGTGAGATGAGAGAGACAGGAGTTTGGAAATCCTTTTGGATTCCTCAGGGAGAGGGAGGTATTGAGAGGGGAGAACGGTGAATGGGAATTCAAAGCCTTGTGCTTCCAGTCTTAATGCTACGCAGTTAGTGACTGGAAATTTACACAGGCTATCAGCCCGAAGGGATGGACTGTGTTTGGCTTATTGCAGCAACGTGCCCTAAATCCTTCGGGTGTTCGGAGATGAAGAACTGACAGGGTCATAGGCTGATAAATGAGAAGCAGCAAGAGAAAGAGGCTGAGAATAAGAAATTTGAGAACAGTTTAAAAGTGGATGAAAGAGAATATAAACAAAAGAGGGAAATGAAAAAACTAATAGAGACAGGGGGGGGGGAAGAAGATGAATGAGAGGAGAAATAAAAATGGATTTCGAATGAAAGAAAATATAAAGAAAAAGAATTATAATGGTGAAACAAACGGATGGATTAGACTGATCTGGACTATGGAACCAGGATCAGAGCTACAGATATCCAGGACTCGAGATAATTACGACCATTCTTAGATAAATAGACTATACTTAGTCTGTCTCTTGTCCACTAATCCTCACAGTTAAATGCCCTCCCCCTCAGACCACCTCAAACACGGTAATGTTCTTGGGGTACAATACCATCCTTACTTGGTATTAAACATCGTATATGTAGAACCCAACCCTATTAAGTCTATTCCCTTGTAAGAGTGGCAAGTAGTTTTAAGAACACTGTGCGATAAACAAACTCACAAGGGCTGTGATGAGGGTTCGAACCTACGTACGGGATGTACCCAGATGCGCCTTAGTCAATATATCAAATGATTTGTTCATTTGATATATCAAGTTATTTTGATTTCTGTGTATATTGTGCGATAGTTGCTATAATATTTTTTCATTATCATTTTTAAATCGTATGTTCAGTCCACTGTCATATATAGAAATTAATGTGACATGTATTATGGGACAATCTAGTATCAATTGCAATGATTTTCAGATGCACTTAATGATCCTGCTTTTGTAAATTGTGCTGGAGGATATTCGAAGATATCATCTGAACAGATGCAATTAAAATTTCTGTAAATCCTTGTAAATATCTTTTCGTGTTTTTTGATCCTTTGTATATGAGATGTAATAACTCGATAGCAATTTAGACACAACAAAATATTTAAAAAATGAGAGACTAACTAATATTAATGACAAATAATTTGTTTGGTATCATTTGACTGGTAAAAAGTGTTCATATGATGTTATGGACAATAGAATGATTTATCTTTCAAAATCATTTATAAATGAACAATTCATTTTTAGCTTAACAGTTTTAATAAAAAAACAATTAAGCAAACTCATTTCGAAGCTTTGCAGCGCCTATTAAACTGTGCATTATCTAAATGTTTCATAAAATACGTATTGAAACAAAATAAAGTTTAGAGATGTGAAAATTTCTAACAAAAAATGTATCACAAACATTTTTCCCCAAAAAATAAGACTGTATTTTCTAATTACTTGTATTCATTTAAGGTGATTATTAAGCATGTTTTCGTCTAAAATAATCGTAACTCTCTACTCCTGCAGAAAATAATTCAAAATGAAACAAATAAATGCTATTTACTTAATTTGTTTTTAAATAATTTTTCAATATGTCCCGGAAGAAGGCTTTCAAATATTATTAAAAACAATATTGACAAACTATGTTATAAAATTTTGGATTAAGGCCTCGATAACTCAACCTGTCATCTTAAACAGCCACCCGAATGATATACGCTTTGTTCCTTAATGGAAAATAAGAGGCACTATTAAAACTTAGAAGCTCAGAAACATCCACGTTTTCTTTGGGTGGATTGGTTAGGTTAGGTTAGGATTCTCTTCTCCCATTCTCTGTGGGAGAATGGTAGAGGGGAATCCTCTATGTATGTTTTTTCTCTCCAATTCTCTGCTATCTTTCCCCGTAGTGAGAGTGACTTTGATTGAGACGCCAAGAAATAGAGAGAGAGAGAGAGAGAGAGAGAGAGAGAGAGAGAGAGAGAGAGAGAGAGAGAGAGAGAGAGAGAGAGAGAGAGAGAGAGAGAGAGAGAGAGAGAGAGAGAGAGAGAGAGAGAGAGAGAGAGAGAGACAGACAGACAGACAGACAGACAGATAGACAGACAGACAGACTTTGGTTCAAACATTTTAGTGACCCGTAACTACAGTGGATGGGCTGAGTTAATGTAGTATTTTCTCCTCTCGTCATATTAAGTTTAAATTACAAGGCTACAATGATATATCACATATGATCCTAATCACAAAAGCACTGTGGCACATCAGCTGTGCCACGGAAACACTGTGGCACTGTATCGCAGCACTTCACTGCTATTAATGAAAGGTAGAAATCTTAAAAGAAATTTTAAAGGACTTACGAAGAATGGTAAAATTCCTGGAAAAAATTGTAAAGGACCAAGAAAAAAATGGTAAAATTCTTGAAAAAAACAAAATTGTAAACGAGCTAGAAGAATTTAAATTTCACAAAATTTACAAATTAGTAATTTCAAGATATTTGTCAATCCAAATCAAATTAACAGATCCATGAAAACTATTATTTTAACT